TGCAACTGTTGAAGATACAGGAGTCTACTCGAGGAAAGCAAAAACCTGACAGCTCTGAAGCGGGGATCAGGGAAGAGATTGCCCTTTGTACATGCCTGTTTGCAGTATTCAAAATGGAGGTCTGCTCCAGCCTTGCAGCTCTGTTTGCACCATGGCAGCAATGCACAGCTAAAGGAAGCATGTGGTTCTCACTGAAGTAATGCTTGCATATGAAGAGGAATTCTGTTCTGATTATGGTGGTGTTCTGCTCTGCAGTTTTCAGTTCTAATGTACAAATTTGTGCAAGCCTAGTGCTTTTCAAAGCCCAAGCTTCTTGCAAATGTATCCACTACAGCACAGCCTATTCTGCTACTGCTGGGGCTGGTTGCATCTCCCAGACTGCTCCCCTGCTGTGGCACAAATGCTTTGGTTCTGTGTAACCAGCAGAGGTGAAAATCCATCTTATTTATAATGGTATTAGGCCTCCCCCCCAAAAAAAAAGCCACTCTGCTCTTTGAACGAGGACTTGCTGGGGAAATTTTACATAGGAGTACGAGGGTGATGTCCCAAGAACTGGAGTTGTAGCTTAACTTCTGTAAAGTATGCTTCTGTGATACTCTTAAAACATGTGATGTCAGGGGGTGTGGCCTTATGACACACTTCCAGTGATGTCAGGGGGTGTGGCATATGCTAATGAGTCATGCTAATAAGCTCCGGCAGCTCTCTTTCTACAAAAAGACCCCTGGAATTTCCCGTGCTGTACATGGGGGTGTACTCAAGGACACTTGAGGTTCCTTCCAACTCTATGTTTCTGCATTTCTGTATGAGGGGAGGGTAGAAGAGAAGGAAATATGGAGCACACAAGCCTAATTTAACCATGTTTGTACCTGTACAGACAAACAGGGGTTGTTTTTGTGTGTATGTGTGTGTGTAACATCTGAATGCACCCTACACAAAACTGTCTTTTTTCCCTTCACTTTAGCTCTTCTATGGCCATCTCCACCTTGGTTTTGAGGACAGTTTGACCTATTTAGTATAGACTGGTTGCAGTTGGGAAGGCAGCTGCAACACTCTCTTCTCCTTCTCCTTCCATGGTTATGGTTTTCTCTTCTGACCATAAAGGCTGTCCAGACGGTCCCCAGCCACATACCTGCAGTGCCCTCAAGGAAGGCTCCAAGTCCCAGTCTGTACTGATCTGCCTCCCCTGAAACGCTGAAGGTCTCATATTTGGCCACAGTGTGATTGTTCTCAAAATCAGTGAGATCAATGTGCAGCTCATTTTCTCCTATTCAAAACAGAAATAATTATGTTGCTACATTTAGAGGCTGCAATAAAAACTCCATCAATTCCACAGATCTGACCCAGTCACAATCTATCAAGAACCTTTCACACAAGGTTTGCTGAAATATGCATGGGATTGCTCACAGGTGCATAATTATGCTTGTGTACCACACACACTGCTTTTCAACAGTGCCAGTTCAAGGAAGATTGCTCCAGAGGTGTCCAACAGGGAACTGCAAAAACAGTCATCTTCCTTTACATAAAATCAGATCATATAGAACATTTTAACATAACTATATTAAAATCTGATTATGCTGACCCAGGTTATTTTTCAGGATCTAAGAAATTTTGTATTAAGCAGCACTGTTTCCTGTCTTCCAAAACAACAGATTCCTGTCCAAGTGGAATTTTTATACTGAACCCCAGAAACAAAAGGAGAAATGGGTGGAATATTGCTGGGTCAAGTTGGGGACATCTGAAATGACCCGAAACACTGCCGAAATTTTGGGAGTACTAAAAAATTTCAGAGAGGCACAGGAGTTGGGGGGGGGGGAAGCTGGTCAACCAAACAGTTTAAGTTTTAAAGGGACAAGTAGCACCACTTAACAGCTGATGCCACCAGCCATTTCCTCAAGTTCCCTTCCCCACAACTATCAGCTGTTTGCCAACAAAGGATGGAAACTAAAACTAACAGTTGGTAGAGACCATGTCTGCCTGCCTTTGGAAATAATGCGGCCATTATTTCCTATGGGCTGTGAAGAGGCCGGGTCTACCCATAGGAAACACTCCACCCATCCATTATTTCCTATGGATGGACATGGCATTCCAATGGACTGTAGACTTGGTATCTATCCACCCAGGTATAATTTGTTACATAGCATCAACTGTCAGGGGCAGGAACAGATGTTGGGCAGGGTGTGCTTACCCCCCTCTCCTCCTCCCTCTCCCTGCTCTTACAGCTACTGTGGGGGAAGGGGGGGATTAAAAAAATGGTCCTGCATTTTGGAACCTGTTAAATTCCTTAACAGTAGCAAGGATCAGAAACTTTTGGGTAACATTAAGTATAGGTAAAGGCAAAGGTTTCCCTTGCTTGAAAGCATATACAATCCCTGAAATCTGGATCCAAAATGAACATGAACTTTTTTTTTTAAGTACACCCCCCTCTGAAATGAAATGTGTGTTTTTATTAAGGCAGCGTCTTTTTTGACTTCACCCACCACCCTCCCAAGAAATGCTGTTACACATCTTGTTTCACTCTTTTTGTAGCTTCTTTCTGCTCAGTGAACACGTTTCTGGTCTGCTGTTTTCCTAGCTCATTTTTCTCCACCTCGTAATTTCTTTTAAGGGAAGTGAAATAGTTAAAATGAGCTGAAAGCAACTGTAAATTTGTGAACAATGGTAGGATTATAAGCTTGCCTGAGGAATAGGCAGAGTAGCAAAAGCTAGAGATAAAGAGGGGAGGGGGTGTAAAAGAATGTGGATGGCAAAGAATAGCCTTGACTAGACACTAACAAGCATGCATGCCTAATGAACTCATTAATATTACCTGACACACCTTGAATACTTAAACAGCCGTGACCTCGACCTCCATGCCACAATTGAAACAGTGAGCAAACTTGAGGCCCCTTGCACGCCTTCGCAGGGTTTAGAGTGTTTTGACCAGCTCAGTCTGGAGGAAGTTGACAGATTGCTCGTATGTGTGCGCCCAACCACGTGCCGCCTTGACCTGTGCCCTTCCGGGCTCATCAAAGCGGGCCACAAGGGGTTTCGAGGTGCCTTATGGGAGATTGTCAACAAGTCCATCATGGAGGGGCGGTTCCCCGAGGCACTCAAGGAGGCAATGGTCCGCCCTCTCTTGAAAAAAAACAACTTTGGACCTGGCTGAATTGGCCAACTATTGGCCGGTGTCTAATTTGCCCTATCTGGGCAAACTGATGGGGGGGGTGTGACACAGCTACAGAGCTTTCTGGAGGACGCTTCTGTCCTTGACCCATTCCAGTCCAGCTTTTGCCTGGATCATGGGATAGAGACAGTGCTGGTTGCCCTTACTGACGACCTCCGGAGGCATCTGGATCGCGGCGGTGTGGCGGCACTGTTGTTAGATCTAACAGCTACTTGGGAGGATGGACCCCATGTCATTATACCCCACTGAGGTCCCGCCCCAAACCCTCCCCTCCCCAAGTTCCACCCCCTCCCCCAAATCTCCAGGAATCCCCCAAGCTAGAGTTGACAACCCTAAAGATAGGTTTGCCAGCTTCAGATTGGAAAATACCTGGAGAGCAATGTTCCCTCTAAGCTGTGGTGTCTTGTGAGCAAAAATTCTACTTTGTGAGCTACTGGCATTAAAGTTGTGAGCGAGTAATTTGGCCACTGTATAAATCAGTTTGCTCTGGAGCCATCCTTCCTGAGCGAAGACAAAAATGTGTGAGCTGGAGGCTAAAAGACTGTGAGCTAGCTCACACTGACTCAGCTTAGAGGGAACACTGTGTCATGCCTGCCCCTGCTGATGCCATGCCTGCCCTTGCTGATGCCCCTGAGGAGGCACCTGCCAGCCAGGAGCCTGTGGACTTACAGGCTCCTGAGGACAGTACTGCAGCAGAAAGGCAAAGACTGGATCCTGTAGCTGAAAGCTATCTAAGTGGTGAGGAGGATAGAGCCTCCCAGGGAACACCTGCAAGGGATCAGCCTCTGCTGCAGCCCAGTAATTCATCATCAGACTCGCCCCCACCTGTAACCAGGCTCCGGAATTTAAGGAGACAGCAGCTGAGAGAGCGAAGGCAGAATGCACACATGCGTGCCAGAAGATCCCTCAGCCCTGACTATTCAAAGGTAGGGATCAGTCTCTGCTGCAGCCCAGTAGTTCATCAGACCCGTCCCCACCTGTAACCAGGCTCCGGAATGTAAGGAGACAGCAGCTGAGAGAGCGAAGGCAGAATGCACGCATGCGTGCCAGAAGATCTCTCAGCCCTGACTATTGACAGGATCCTGACCTTGCTCCCGGCTAGCTAATGAGTTGATTAGCTAGCACTGTATATCTGCAAGTCTGTTGCCAGCAGTCATTTGTGCTGGAAAATGTTGTTTGTCAGGACCTGAATCCTTGCATCTCTGCTCCAGACCTTGTGGAATTCTGTGATTTAAACCTGTTTGAACTGTGCTACCTGATTTGCTCGGCTTGACCTCAGACTGTTCCTGGGCTTTGGCTTGCTTGCGTCACGCCCCCTGATCCTGCCGTGACATTCGGCAGTTGGCCCCCTTCCTCGACTTGGCTACAGTTATCCATGCGATGGTCACCTCGAGGCTAGACTACTGTAACACTGTCTACATGGGGCTGCCTTTTTTGCAGATCCGGAAGCTGCAGCTAGTGCAGAACGCAGCGGCTAGGCTGTTGATGGGTTCCCCTAAGTGGTAGCACATCCAGCCTGTGCTAAGAGAACTGCACTGGGTGCCAATAGCATACCGGATCCATTTCAAAGTGCTGGTACTTACCTTTAAAGCCCTAGATGGCCAGGGTCCGACCTACCTGGTGGACTGCCTTTCCCCATACATACCCCCAAGAGCACTTCGATCGGGGACACAACATCGCCTGGCAATCCCAGGCCTCAAGGAGGTAAGGCTTGCAGCGACCAGGACCAGATCCTTTTCAGTGGTGGCCCCTACCTGGTGGAACGAGCTCCCAGAGGAGATCAGGGCCCTGTGGGACCTCATGCAGTTCCACAGGGCCTGCAAGACGGAGCTCTTCCCCCACCAGGTTTTTACGTGGGGCCTCCCACTACCGCCACTACCACCATCATGTGGTTAATAACGGGACGGAAGGATGGCCACAAAAGATCTGCCAAAATACTACATGGCACTGGTACCACCGGACTATATACTAACTATAGTTGGACTATGTACCCAACTATAGGCAATATCACCTTTAATAGCAGCCTGATATTCCCCTGCAAACTATGGAGACCATTTTGTTCTTATTGAGCACTTTATTTTTTGTTGATTTAAATGGTTTTACTGTTTTATTCTGTTTTACTGTGTTTTTATGTGTGAGCACTAGTGCTCCCTTGTAAGCTGTCCTGAGCCCGCTTGCGGGGAGGGCAGGGTATGTATAAATAAATAAATAAATGATAAGGGAGGGGGTCATGTTAAAGAGTTGGTATGTTTTAGGCAGTCTGAAAAAGTGTAAGCTCTCACAACCCCAGTCAACGGGAATGGGGAGGAATGGGGCAATTATTACTGCACAAAACTACACCTACAAAACTACAGAAAACAGAAAAGGGAAGGCGGAAATTTTTTTAAAAAACCCGGGGTACAAGACAGCAAATTAAAAAAACCACACTATGACTAAAAACCCAAGAAAGGAAGGTCATTAACAGTTAGTATTCAGTTAGTCATAAAAATAATAACTTTTCGTTTAAGTCAATGAATTCAAGAGTTAGTGAGTCCATTTTAGTAATTG